TGCAACTGAGTGCGGAGTACAAAGCTGAGTCACCACAGCCAGCCAGCAGCAAGGCCGAGCTGCCACCCCACCCAGCTGCACCGTGTCCTCGTGTGTGCTCTGCCAACAAGCCCCCAGCTATCTCCTTCACGTCTGTACCAGGAGAAGCTGCTTCTTCTGCAACTGGCTTCTCTGCAGCACCTACAGAGCTCTGTAAAAACCAGCATGGGGCTCTCTACAGGTGGAGGTCTTATGCCCTGGTGACACCTTTTCATCCACTTTGCCCAAGTCTTGCAAGCTCATTTGAGAAGGATCTGTCATCAGATGTCTAAAAGCTCAGCTGGGACCTCTCAGAGTTGAGATACAAGCAGAGCTCTGGCTTCTTTTGCCTAGATGGAGGTGGAAGTTTTGCTCTCAGTGCTAAATGAGCAGGATACAAGTTGCTTCCACAACTCCCTGTAGATGCTTTACAAAAAAAAAAAGAAACCTACCTACAAAAATAAACTCTCAGAATCCCAAGGCAAATCTCAAATCTGAAGGAGAGAGTCCCTGTTCCATATCCAGCTGCTTTGCTGGGGTGCAAGGTGGGGCGAGCAGAGGGCTGAGCGTCCTCTGGTTGCATCCCTTACCAGAGAGAGCACAAAGCCAGCAAGCTGGACTGGTTTCCTCCCCAGTGGCTCAACACCCCTCTTCTGACTTAAATGTCTAATTAAGAAACTACAACTAACAGAGAGTACTTCCAAGAATTAATGTTAATCATATGCTGAGCTATTTTTCCTGAAGCAGGATCAGGTGGCTATAGTTGACGTGATTAAACCTTCAGTAAGTAATTATTTGGTTTCTAATACACTGCAATCACTGGAAAAAGATTTGCATAAGCTTGGATGAAAACCCAGCCATTAATTACTACTATAATTTTCCACAAGGCAAAATGAACTAGCCACAATACCCAAACACCTGATTTTATCTAGCAAGAACTATGCACTTCAGCAGCCACTAAAGAAAAACCCACAAACGAGAAAATCAAGGCACCCATACACAACGTACAGACTGCCAGGCACCATCCAATGCACACCCTCCACCTCAACATTGAAAAAGATTTTAAAATATGAAAAAAGATGTTCCAATGCATGCCAAAGAAGCAGCTTCCCTATGTGTGGGTGTACAAACATGCATTAAGAGCAGACCAGAAGGAATGATTTTATTTGATTTATAGATGCTTCTCATGGACCAAAGTGGCAGGTTGGGTGAAACAGAGTAGGCACTGTGTTTAAGAAGGAAGTATGGAGGGACACAAATGGGTGTACTGGAGAAAACCTGTTCCCTGAGGTTTACTTTGGCAATGGAGTAGTAGCAGAATGTAAAGCTCAGCAGATGCAATGTTTAAGTGGAATGGGTCACAGGAGCCAGCAAGTATCTTTCCCTCTCCACAGGGCTGCCAATTATCCCTCACAGGAGTCTCAAAATCATGCAGTGGGAAAATGACTGGGTGTTTATCAAGCATTGCCTTCATAGCAGTAGGTTTTTTGATTCATGGGAAAAAACTTGTGAGTGAAATTCCCACCAGTGAGATTTAAGGAAAACAAAAAAAGTTTCCCTTCATCTGAAGGAGAAACATCTCAAAACAGTGATGATGACCATCTGGCTCCACTGCCAACATTGGTGGCACCCCATATCTCAGGCAACACCAGAGGGTCATGATGCTTTTAAAATTAACACTGGCACCAAAAGCAGCTTACCATCATTTCTGTAGGAAATGTAAACCTGGCTCTGTAGAAGTTAAACAGAAAAGAATTCCCTCATCAACAGCTGAAGATGTTCACCCAAAGACAATTCATACCTGACATGAACTAAATGTTTTTATGAGTTTGTCCTGGCCCCCCAGGTAGGCCTGTTCCTGATGCTGGCAACTTCTGGTATTTACTGAGCACTCCTTACATGCCAAAGAGCAGCACAGTGTGTGCTGCTGTTCCCTGGGGTCTGCACCTCTAATGAAAGATGCTTTGAAGTTCATGGTTTGTCTGGCTGCTCCAGAC